AATTTGTCAAAGCATTCCGATTTGTGTTTCATGAGATACACATATCCATATCTACTAAGGTCGTCAGTAAATGTAACGAAGTAAGAATAACCACCTCTAGCTACAGTGTTAATTGGACCACAAACATCAGAGTGTATGAGGCCCAATAAGTCACTCGCCCTTTCACCGTGACCGGTGAATGGAGCCTTTGTCATTTTACCAAGTAAACAAGATTTACATACATCATATGACTGGAAGTCAAATGAATCAAGTACACCGGAACGATGTAACTTAGATATGCGTTTCTCGTTAATGTGGCCCAAACGACAATGCCAAAGGTACGCGAGATTCAAACTGTTAGGTTTGTTTCTCTTAACATCAACGTTATATACTGCGGTATCCATGTCGAGGACATAGAGACCGTTGGTCATTTTTGCACTTGCATAAAATATATCATTTCTAAAGACAGAAAGAGTTTTGTCTTTTACAACGAACGAAAATCCTGCTTTGTCAAGGCAGGATACAGAAATGATGTTTCTGCTCATACTAGGTACAAACAGACAATTATTTAACTGCAATACAAGACCACTCGGTAGAGATAAACTATAGGTTCCGACGGCTAATGCATTTACGAGTGCGCCATTACCGACTTTTAGTTGTATCTCTCCCTCCGTCAATTGTCTACGTTCATGCAGATCCTGCATAGAAGTACAGATGTGAGAACCACATCCAGTATCCATCACCCAAGAGGTGATATCAGACATATTGACTTCAATAACAAAGATACCTGAGGTTTGAGGTTTCTTTCCCTCTTTCCTCTCTGCCAGTAATTTTGCGCAGTTGCGCCTCCAGTGACCCTTTTTGCCACAATAATAGCATACTGCAGACTTCTTCTTAGCTCCTTCTTTGGGTTTCAACGAAGAGGAGTTGGACGCTGGCTTGGGTTTCTTAGAACCCTTGCGCTTGGTCCTGGCCGGCGAACGTGGCCCACTCTTCTTCGCAACAGTACTACCCTCTACCATCAGGACAGACTTACCCTTGCCCTTCCCTAGACTCTCCTCAGCAGTTGTGAGGAATTTCAGTAGCTCAGGCATAGTCATCTCTAGTTTGTTCATGTAGAAGTTCACTACAGTTTGACTATACTCAGCTAGTAATGATCCCAAGATAAGATCAGTTGCCAGCATAGGGTGCAACGGGGCGTCCAGTTTTTCAAGAGTTTCGATCTGACCGATCATCTTGAGAACGTGGGGACCAACTGGGTTACCCGTTGCCAGCTTACTGGAAAACAGAGTCGTAGAGATTTTGAAACGCTCATGTCTAGCCTGGCCTTGGTATAGACCTTTCAAGCAAGTCATCATAGGATGAGCTTCCATGTCCTTGTGGAGCCTTTGGAGCTCCGGGGTCATGGTGGCTAGCATGAGACATCTCACATCACGTGCGTCATCTTCATACTTCCGGTACGAAGTAATTTCTCGTCGTGCCCGCAAGCGAAGTCCTCGAAACCCTCCGAGTCTACAATCCTGCATTTCGAAAAAGAGCGTAAGCTCTACAATCTTAAGATTCATCTCCCAATCAAGAAAGTTAGTTCCAGATAATTTTTCCTTTTCTAGAACATATCGCAGGTTGAAAGGGTTGTTGTTGTTTGCCATCTACAGAAAATTTTGCAAAATAGATTATCTATCATGTTTAATAATTAATTAGGCCTTTAATTAATTATCTCCCACTATTTTTTAACAAATCAATAACCCTCGATATTGATTCGGAGATTTCCGGCGAAAACTCTAGTGGGCCAAGATCCATATTTCATTATCTTGCATTCCGCTTAGGCGTTACTCCACAAGACAACTATTTAGGTAGGAACATAGTTCCAACTGATGAGCCGGGCTCTCAGCTCTTGGTCTGGTGTTGGGCAAACAATATTACTACAACCGGACCAGGACACCTTTTCACCATACTTGTAATTGGCTGAGGCACGTCTTACAAGCAGACTACTTTGGTTAGGAACAGAGTTCCAATTAAATCATAAAGATCCAACTCCTGGCTGAATGAGTGAGTAAAATCATCCGACTTGTCATTGATGACCCCAACTTACTGCCTCTGAGTCGTCCATCCATTTGATCGAGACTCAGTTAAGTCTAACCCAACGTGCGACAGCGACCACGCTATGGCGGTTCCCGTAACCAGCTTAACATACACCGTACTATGCTCTGCTGAGGCTGAGTACATGACAGTGCACATTAGCCGGATAGGTGCCGGGCGTCAGAAGGCAACAGACTTAATATTTGTGAGGGATTTATAATTTCGATCTCACCTATCGACATGGCCGCGCACATGTACATTACTAGCGTTCAACATACATTCAACATGCATTCACAAAACGTAGTAAATAAACGTGTAATGATTGTGGCCCCTAAAAGAAAAATAAAACGATAGCTCCCACTAGCTTCCGGGCACTTGGACTTCGGGCTATCTCCATTCTTTTAGATTTGTCCAAACGGTCTTCAAATCTTTTCGTCTTCAAACCACCACGTGAGAAAAGAATCCTCGGTTGAGGTAAGAGAGAGAAATAGATTTACAACAAGAGTTTAAGAGATAAGGCACGACACGCAGGCCGTATTATAATCAAATAAACTATAGCCACAACCATCCACCATGCATATGATACATCCACACAAGCAATAGAGATATACATACACCGGGTGAACCGCGCTCACCCCAGACAGTTCTAAAAAAAATACTACGGCAGTAAATATTTTCTAAAACTCATAAAATTAAATTAGATGTCCAAATAAATCTAATAAAATTTTATAAATTCATTTTATATACTCTGGATATTCTTCCAGCATAAAAAAAAACATCCAGAATATTCCAAATGACCAAAATGCCCCTTTTGCAAAATTATATTCAAAAAGGCCATTAAAATTTTGAAAAAATAATTTTGAAAAAATCATGAAAATTAAATTTCAACTACAAGTAATTATTTTCAACATTTATAAACCTGGAAATAAAATTTCCAAAATTTATAAATCATTATTTCCAAAATATATTAGTTAAATCTCAATAAGTTATAAAAAGCCATTTAAATTGATTTCGAAAATATTAAATTACAAAAATTTAATATTTTGAAAAACATTCTTTTTCTTACTGAGATATAACTTTCCAAAATATATATTAGTCAATTATGTAATTAAAATACAAATATATAAATATATATAATATTTTGGTAATAAAACCGAGTACACATATAAATATATATTTATTTAATTACTAACTAATATTATTTTGAACAATATATTTATCAACAACCTTATTCAACTTAGAAATAATATTTCCAAGTTTAATAAAGTTCATTTTGAATTTTCCATATTAATTTTCGGTTTTCACCTAAATAAATACAATAAATTCAAAATAGGAAATAATGCATTCAAAAATTACAATATAATTTTATCAATCATAAAATGATGTTTTATGTCCAAATAAAATTATATTTACTATTTCTACAATATATATAAATATATATTTCGAAAAATCAAAATATATATATTTATATATATACTACGGGTAGAAATAAAATAAATAAATTTAAAATTCATTTTCAATGATTTATTTAAGTCCAATACTTATTCCAAGACTAAATAAAAT